AAAAAAAAAGAAAAAAAAAAAAAAAAAAAAAAAAAACGTTACAATGTATTCAGCTTTAAGTGTCAGAGGACAGAGTTCAAGGCTGCCAGAGTGGCTAGAAAGTGAGGTATAGCCTGGTTAAAAAAAAATATATATGAAGAAGAGAAACCCTCAAATCTACAGCTAAACTCCATCTAACTCCTTGGCTAGTTTTTAGACTGCACATGCGTAGGGGAGCCTTCAAGAGGCCTAGTGGAAAGAAAGAACTAGAAAGCTGAAGACACCATGGACTGGAGATTTTAGCTGCTGCCTATTGCAAAAGAAACAGTTTGGAATTTGAGTACAATCAAGTAGTAGTCTTTCTAAAACAAAAATTAATGCTATTTAAATGATGCAAACAAAATCCAGAGACTCTACAATGTATTGTTCTAAAGGTACAATATACAATTAAAATTGCTATACATTTGGAGAAAGAGAAAAATAAGATATATTCAACAGACAAATGATTCAAAGTGATAATGAAATAAGGAGATTAAAATAAGAATCCAAGGACTGTGATTCTAAAACCTGATAAACACATTATAAGATAATAAAATTGCTTACCAATCTCCTATGGGTATAAATAATTTAATCAATGTGTTTCATTTACCATATCAAACAAATAATGTGGAAGGATCATATAAGCTTCCCACAGATGCAGAAGGCAAAAAGTTCGCAAAATTAACACCCATTGAGGATGTAAACTCTCAGCAATTCAAGAATAAAAGAAAACTTCTTAAAGCTCTTAATGCCCACTTCACCCCTTCTCTTCAAAAAAAATTATAATTATCATTATGTTGATGCTCATTGGTGAGATATTGAATTTTCTCTTCCTACAATCAAGAACAAGACAAGGTTACCACTCGCTGTCATCATTTTTCTCCCAACATTATAGTGTAGGCCCTAGCCATTTCAAGATGGCATGCAAGATAAATAAAAATCATAAAGGTAAAAAAGAGAAAATGAAAGTCTATATTCACAGATAGCATGTTATTGAAATAAAACAGATCTGTAAATTAACCGCTACAGGTAAATAACTGCAGTCCACAAAGCAGCAGGATGCAAAGTATATACATAAAAATGTATTTCTGTATATTAACAGTAAACAATTTGAAAATAAAATTTATAAAAATGAATTTATGTTAGCATTTAACAACATACTAATATTAGAATTTAACAAAAGCTGTGCATGACTTTTTTTTTTTTTTACTGAAAAGTATGAAACAAACTGAGGGGAACTGAAGAAACCTTAAATAAATCAAGAGATACACCATGTTCATAAACTGAAACTCTCAATGTTGTTACATTTTAATTTTCCATAAATTAATTTATGAATTCAATGCACCTCAATCATAATCTAGAGGATTTTTCTACTAGACTCTGACATGCTGATTCTAAAATAAGATTCATATTACCCAGAATAGTAAAACTACTTTTTAAATGAACAGTAAATTTGGAGATTCTACAATACTAAATTTTTGCATATTATAAAAATTTTTTAAAAATCCTACAAGTCCAGAAATAAACCACATTTATTTTGGTCAATTGATTGTGACAAAGTTTCCTAAGAAAAATCAATGAATAAGTGAAAATCCTTTTCAAAAATTTCAGGTTTGAATAGTTTAATAAATAAAAAGTAAGAGACACTATTCAAAGACATTTCTAAACGTATTTCTTCTTGTTCTTAGATTGTTTAAAGAAAAGCAAATTCAAAAGTTTCATATATTTCTGCCATAGTTCTTTTTTATTTTAAGCATTTATCTTATATTTTGATAATTTTAAAAATAAAACAATTTTGCTATTTATCTTTTTTATATATGCTTAAAGTTGCCTGGTTTTAAGCTATTGCTTAACACATTCAAAACATAGTAATACCACACCTTTAATAATAAATAAAAATTTCTCAAATCTCCCTAAGTGTTCTGATCTTATGGCTTGTTTCTAAAAGTTGACACTTTCTTAATAGCAAAAATGAGGAAAGGGATAGAAAAGTCTGCCATTTTATACCATATTTGTTACAATGTAATGCAGTACTACATAGATTTTTTTTTTTTTTGCAAGCCTTTTCATTTTTATTACTCAAAAAAGTTTCATTTTTTATTTAGCTTTCTGACTCCGTGCTTGCGCCTTCAACACTTTCACAATGATTTTCTGCTCCTCGATAAGGAAAGCACACTTGATCCTGTCATGAACACATTTAGCACACATGAAACCACCATAGGCCCTGCTGACATGTTTCTTTGTTTTGGACAATCTCATAAGAACTTAAGGTCTTACAGCATGAACCCCTTGACGCCTGCCTGGGCATACACCACATGCTGATTTTGGTGCTTTCCCATCGTTCTTGGTATAAAGGTAAACAATTCTATTACAGGGGTCTGGGACAGCCTAGTTTTGTTAGAGGCTGTATTGTAGAAAAGCCTACGTCGGTATATGAAACGCTGGACCATTCCGAGTGCCTGCACACAATGTCCCTGGAAGAGCAGTACAACATAGATCTTTAGGTTGAAAGTTAGGACTTAGGGGTTGCATCTTCAATACTTTCACAAACTCTTTTCCCAAAAGAATCATGTCCAAATAATGGTGTAATTCTTTCTTTATTTGGCAAATAATTGGATGTGTTTTTATATTTTAGTATCCTGTGTAATTGTCATCACAAAAAATAAATATTTAATTGCGAAAGGGTTGAGACTGATTGAAGTCCTAGTCTAAATGGGTAAGATTCTAACATTTGCTATTCTTTCCACAAAACATTTAAAAAGTCATTTGAATTTAATTCGTCTGAGAATATCACTGAAATATTTTGAATTCCCTGACTATAGGTTGGGAAATTTCAACCAGATTCTTAAACTACAGGAATAAATCTATTTCCCTAAAGAGATAACATATAATTCCCCCTTTTACCTGTGAGATCAGGAAGATAATCCTGATATCATTGGTGCATTTCTTTGAATAAGGGAAATTCTGAAATATGAATTGGTAAATTTCAGATAAAAGCGGGACTTTTACACATTAAAGTAAAAAAATATGAGATATCACAAAATATGTGGCTAAGGTTAATTTATATAAAATTATAAAATAATTAAATGTATAATGTGTATTTGGGGTTATGGAATATATATCTATATTTACATATATGCATTTTACATAATTTGCATAATTAAATGAAGCTGATTAACATTTCTATTACCTCACTTACCTATCAGTTTTTATACTGAGAATTTTTAAATTTATTTTTCACTTATTTATACATGTGTATTTTTCACTACAGTCGCTCTGTTGTGCAATAGATCTCAAAACCTATTTCTTCCATCTATCTGAAACTTTGTACCCTTTGATGGGTTACTCTCCATTTACTCTCTCTTCACCACTCTCCAGACTCTGAAAAACATTGTCCTGCCCTCTACTTATTTGAGTTTAACTTTATTATGTATTGCATTTAACTTTATATATGCCACACATAAGTGAGATCATTTAGTATTTGTCTTTTTGTGACTGGCTTATTTCAGTTAGCATAATGATTTATCCATGTTGTTGCAAAAGACTTGGTTATTGTGAATAGTGCTGCAATGTACATGGGAGCACAGATATTCCTTTAACATACTGATTTTAGTTCCTTTGGATAGATAACCAGACATGAGTTTACTGGCTTATATGGTGGTTCTGGCTTTTTTTGTTTTTTGAGAAGTCATCATACCATTTTTCCTTAATGGCTACCCTAATTTACATTTCCACTTACTTACAGTGCATAAGAGTTCCCTTCACTTTCTCTTCAACACTTTTTCATCTTCTTGATAAAAGCCATTCTAACAGTTGTGAGGTGATACCTCATTATGTTTTTCATTTTCATTTCTTTAATGATTAGTTATGCCGAGTATTTTTTCATGTCCCTGTTTGTCATTTGTATATCTTCTTTAGAAAAATGTCTCTTTAGGTTCTTTGCTCATATTTAAATCGGGATACATGTGTTCTTTCTATTGAGTGGTTTGAGTTTCTTACATATTTTGGACATTAACCTCTTATCAGATGTATGGTTTGCAAACATTTTCTCCCTTTCTAAGAATTCATGAAAATATTGTTAAAACTAATAAATAAATTTAGTAAAGTTGACTAATGCAAAATCAATGTACAAAAATCAGTAGTGTTTCTATATAGAAATAATAAGCTATCTGAAAATGAAACTAAGAAAACAATCCTCTTTACAATAGCAACAAAAACAGTAAAAACTTAGGTGTAAATTTAATCAAGGAGGTAAAAAACTTGTGTTCTTAAACTATAAAACACTGATGAAAGAAACAGGAAAAGACAGACATAAATGAAAAGTTATCTCATGGCCATAGGTCACAAGAATTCATGTTGTGAAAATATCCACAGTACCCAAAACAATCTACAGATTCAGTGTGATTCATATCAAAATGCCAATTCCATTTTCAACAGAAATAAGAAAAAAAGAATCAAATTCATGTGGAACCATGAAATACCTTGAATAGCCAAAACAATTTTGAACAAAGAGACCAAAGCTATAGGTACCTCACTCTCTGATTTCAAAACAGTATTACTTGATTGTAATGCAAACAGCATTTTACTGGCATCAAAACAGACACATTGACTTAAGGAAAAAGTAAGCAAACTCAAAAATAAATTCATACTTCTATGGTCAGCTGATTTTGGGCAAGGTACTAAGAAACACACAGAGGAAAGGATGGTCTCATCAATAAATGTTGGGAAAGCTAGAATACACATGCAGAAGAATGAATTAGACCCTTATCTTACACCATATACAAAAATAAACCGAAATTAAAGACTTAAATATAAGATATAAAACTATAAAACTACTAGAAGAAAACAGGAGAAACTCATCAATATTTGTTTAGGCAATGACTTTTAAAATATGATCCAGAAATTACAGACACCAAAAGCAAAAAGAGACCAATGAGGTGGTGTCAAACTAAAAAAGCTTCTAGATAGCAAACAATTAACTAAGTGAAGAAATAACCTACAGAATATTATGTTAAAATAAAATATGAACCAATATACTAGTTATGGTTTTAATATTTTTGTCCCCTTTAAAATTCATGTATTAGAAACGTAATCTCCAATTCAACAACATTGGTAGGAGGAGCCTAATTAGAGGTGTTTAAGTTATAAAGGCTCTGCTCCCCACAATGAATTAATGGAGATATGAAAAAGATATGTGTGAATGGGTTTGCTTTCTTCTGCTCTTCTGTAAGGTGGAGAATGCAGGGTTTAAGCCAATGTTTAAAGAAGCAGAGAATCCAAGCCCTATTATGCCAGCACCTTTATCTTAAACATTCCAGCCTCCAAAACCATAAAAAATAAATTTATTTTCTTTATAATGTATCCATTATATGGTATTGGAATAGAGCAGAACAAAAGAAGGCAATATGACATTATTCCTAGAATTATTTTAAAACACAGTATTAGATCTCCAATATAAGAAATATTCTTTTTAAATAATCAATATCCAATCTTCAGAATGAATTTTGGAATGCATAATAAATTATAATATTCTCTGTTAATTTCCCATTTATTTTGCTTTTTTCCCCAGTAGCTATGCTTTTTCCCTAGTTAAGCTCAAATTTTCCTGAGTTTACTAATGAGCATTGACTATTGGGCCGTTCTTTCTCAGATTAGTGATAGCACTGTTTGTAAATTTAATTTTAGCCTACTTAATTCTAAAGTATCTTTTCCGGAATGAGTTTTGTCTGTGTCTCTGGTTTTATGTTTCAATCCTATAACCAAGCTTGTAGTTTTATATTCATATTATTTTATTTAATTACAAAAACAATAATGTGGCAGATGCTAATTCCTTTCAACATATGTTTATATTGATAATGATCTCAAGTAATAACCTTCAACTTTCTTTTTGCTGTTCCCATTTCCATATTCAGTTTTTATGTCAACAGCTTTATTACTTTTAAATATTTTAACATTTTAGAATTTATTATTGAATTATATTTGAGATAAGATGAACTATGAATATTTAAAATGTACAATTTGATACATCAACATATGTAAACACCCATTAAACTATTATCATAAAAAAGATAATAAACATATCTATCATCCTAAAAGTATCCTTATATTATTTTTTTCTATCTTCCACCATTTGACAACTTTCCTCTCCCCCAAAGAAATGATTGGTCTATTTTCTATCATTACAGACTAGTTTGCATGCTCTAGACTATTGTATACAAGGAATTGTACAGCATATATTCTTTTTAGTCTGCCTTCTTTATCCAGCCTAATTATTTTAAAATTAATTTATGTTTAGTTGTTTCAATTGTCTATTGCTGATATATAACAGTTTGTTTATCCACTCACCTGTTGATAGACACAATGGTGGTTTTCAGTTTGTTCTCTTATGGGGTACATGTGCAAATAAAATTGCTATAAGCAATTATGTACAAGACTTCCTCTGACCATATGTACTTTTTTCTCTTGAGTAAATTCCTAAAAGTTATATGTTTAAATAATATATTGTGGTTACGTTTAAAGTTCTTAGAAATTGACAAACTATTACCCTTTTTTGTTTTCTTTTGAGACAGAGTCTCACTCTCACCCAGGCTGGAGTGCAGAGGCGCGATCTCGGCTCACTGCAACCTCTGCCTCCTGGTTTTAAGTGATTCTACTACCTCAGCCTCCCAAGTAGCTGGGAATACAGGCATGTGCCACCACATCCAGCTATTTTTGTATTCTTAGTAGAGACAGGGTTTCACCATGTTAGTCAGTTTCTTGAACTCCTGACTTCGTGATCCGTCCTCCTTTTCAAAGTGGATTGCACCATTTTACATTCATACCATAATCCTTGTCAACACTTGCCATGGACAATTCTTTTTCAACATTCTGTCAATGTGTTGAGGTTTTTATTTGTATTTCCCTAGTAACTAATTATATTGACCATCTTTAATTTGCTAATTTATCATCTTTGCATCTTTTTATTAGATATATGCTTTGCAAATATTCTCTGTAACTTGTATATTCTTGGTTAACACTTTGGGTTTCATTCTTAGGAATATTTCTTGCTAAAGGTCAAGGATTTCATCTTATATTGTCTTCCAGAAGTTTTACAGCTTTGACATTTTTATGTAGATTCATGATTCACTTAATTTTTGTGTGGGATGCAAGTTTATAAATTGAATTTTATTTCATGCAGATGTCCAAGTATTTCACCACTGTTTGTAAAGACTAACTTTAAACTACTATATTGCATATGTACTTTGTTTAAAAATCAGTTGTCTTTATAGGTGTGGTTTTGTTTTAGACAATCTATAATCCTTCATTAATTATTTATCTATATCTGTATCAACAATATTATCTTGATTACTCTAGATTGAAATCAAATAGTTATAGCACTCCAACTGTGATCCTATTTTTGAAGTTATCTTTGCTTTTCTAAGTTCTCTTTATTTTCACATGAATTTTAAAA